GCTATCGCGAATACTCAACGTTGCGACTGACGATCGATGAATCTTTCTGAACGTTCTTGTCATTTGTGATTCGTGAATACATTTTAGTTTGAATTCATTAACGACAATTTTTTACTGATCAGCAATGAAGGTGCTACGGTGTGGCATTGGTTTAGTATTGATTGAATTGATGTTTGAATCGTTTTCGTGATTTTGATGAATCTGACTTTTTCGTAGTCTGCTCGACTTGAACAGGCAGAAGAAAAAGGAACAGCAGGACATCCTGAAGTGGTTTGGAATCAATCTGAATTTGAGTTCGAACTCTCGAAAGTGGCAAATTTATCTTTTGCATCAACGAGCGATCCGTGGCTTTTCATCATCATCGCTGCTATCGTTTTTGCCTACACGATAAATCAAATTCGCAAGAATGAATTTGCAATTAGTGGGATTTTTTCAGTTTGTCTGAGAATGTGGAGAAAAAAGTGGAAACAAATTTCTAGATCAGTTTGCAAGAAGCTTTGTTAACTGCTATCTGCTAGTTGCGCTTATATGTGTGCTATTGCTGATGTTTTGTTCTATTTAATGCTGATAAGGCGTTTCGTTTCGGTCAAACTAATACGATACGCAAACAAATGATTTAGTGGTCAAAAACGATTGTGAATGATATCATTCAGAATTGCACCGCTTCATGATGGTTTTTGATATTTTACTATTTTTATTTCATCTCGTTCACTGATTTACAAACTCACACACANACACACACACGAACATGCTATAAAGATTTGCTCATTGTTCTATTGTTTAATAAATATTTCATATGCTTTTAGATTCTATGCTTTTATCGCTTATTTCGTTATTTTTTTGTTCGAGTTCCATCGTTATCTGCAATTTATTTTTCACGTTCAGTCAGTCAGAACGCTCGCTTTTCATTCACATCACTTTTCATTTTCCAAACAAACGTACGAACCATTTTGTTTATTTGCGGACGGATTGATGGATAATACTTTCATTGTGCTCCGTTCTTCGTTGCACTCTTTCTCCAGTTTTTTTTTTGAAAACCGCTCTCTAGACTTCAGCGTTCCATTGTTGTTGAGGCTTTGTTGAGCGATCACTGCTGGATAATCTCAACGACCATTTATGTGGTGATGTTCGATTTAACTGAAACTTCGTATTGCTTCTTAGAGAGTACCCAATTGAATGTTTAGAGCAACTTTAATTGCACAATTGAATTGCAAACAATCAAATTTCCACAGATCACCTCATCCTGTGTGAGTAGTGTTCCACTGAATCGCCCGTTAATTCATTTTGTTTAAGTTTAGTCTCTTCTCACTAAATCAGCTAATTCGTTTACGTATGTAGAAAAGCTGAAAGGAAATCGAAAGGAATTCTTTTTTGTTTTGGTTATATCATATCCATTGTATCAATATGACGTAATACTTTCGTTTGTGATTTCGTTGATGCCATGATAATATTTTCAATAACATTATGGCATAACAAATTTTTATGATTGCTTTCTGCTGAGTGGCGTTTCGCTGATTACCGCACTCAGCATCACCTATAGTATTATGGATGTTTGCATTAGCAACATTGATTTATGTGCTACATTAGCCAAGAAGACATCTCATAAATCTGAAGTGTTCTTTTCCTTCTCGCTGCCATTACGGCTCGGCTCTTCAAAACTCCTCAGAAGATCTCTTGCAGACCTGTTGGTTCCAACAAATCTTCACCACTGGCTAGACCTACCTCGTGGCGCTTTTTCGCTTGAGGAGGATGAGGCCCGTCGTTGTTGAAGAAGATGTATTTTTAAAGTTGCGCACGCAACAATTTAGCTAGAGCCGTTCTCCTCAGACCAAACTGATGGACTCACTGAAGCGCTGACTGGAATCATAGACGTTGAGCGATTACATCCCAAGGCAAGCGCGTACCTATACACACCTCAGCGGTTGGCTACTCTGCTGTGGCCACAGCGTTCTAACTCACATCTTCCAAGTAGTCTGAAGTAGGGTTAGTGTTCACAGTTAGAGATTGAATGGCTGCTGCTGGCCGGAACCATTGCAGTAGTTGTTCAGTCAGTCATTCATTCGTGTTAGTTATATGCGGTGGGTGTTTGGTAATGGAGTTTTTTGTGTTGAGACTACTTTGTTGTTGTTGTTGTGATTGTTATCGATGATACTGCTATCGTTTCAAATCGCAGTTAAACTCATCAATCCATCCATCCAATCTATCTATCGTATGCCTATCGGCTATTGGCCACAAGCACACGAACGATGACGACCACACGAACAATCTAAGCAGCAGTTGAACGCCGACCGATCAAGCCGTCCATCGAGCTACGACCAGCTGGACGGACGTGTCTGAAGCACAAACAACAACCGACCCAACAGCCAGCCGTCAGCCACACGCACACACAAAACATAAACAGCAGCTTATACGCCCAGCTGAAGAATGCCTGAGTGAGATATTCACTTTAGCAGATCCGATCATCCGGTTAGTGAAAAATAAGCCAAACCAACACAATAACAACAACAACGACCTGCGGCGGCCTGCTGCGAATCCATCTTTCGCTTAGGCAGTCTAGCAGAAGCGTTTTACCACTTCCTCTTTGCTATCCTCATCGTCTAGCAGCCGTTTGGACGACGATGTCGAACGCAGATGTCAGCTGATGTCCACTTGGGCATCGCTTGCTCGAATTGACATCTTCTGCTTACATTCCTCTACTTTCGTTTCATTTTATCATTTGATTCTCAACTTCATTTCACCAATACTTTGTCTTTTTTCCCAAATTTCATTCCACTCTTATTCAAAACTTTCACATGTACGATTCTTCGTGCCCACAATCAACATAAACATCCACGATCTTTCTTGCCCGTGGAAGTCTAACTTTTCATTCAATTCCTTTCCTTATTTCGTTAATTCAAATTCATTTATCACCAGATCGAGCAATTCACCTGTTATCAACAATTCATCACCACTCTTGTTCTAATGCAACATTCCATACTGACTAATTTTTCGATATTTTTTCCAGTACTGACGAGTGTATTAGTGTCCTTTTTGCATGTCTTGAACACATCAGTCACGCTTTTCGTAAAGCGTAAATTAGCATGAACTCTATCTATAATGAATATTGATTTCTATTCGTTTCAGTACGACCTAAAGCCTCTGAAACTAAATTTTAAACTATGAAGGGCCCTCGAGCCTCGTCTGAAATGAGCCTAATTTTTCAAGAACATGTATTACAATTTGGTACGTGATGAACAAGACTAATATTATCTTAAGCAATCGACTTTGCACTCACGTTGGGCATTAATCACACAACTTCTGGTCGCTTCTATGCTTCCGAACTGCGACTGCTGTCCATCGACTCACGACGCTGGTTGTTATCGTCCGTCGAAGAATGTCCAAGCGATATAACGGGTCGATATTTGCTCGTATGCGATATGTGCTGCATATGTGGATTAGTGCATTTGCTGAGATCGATTTGGGATATTTTCATGAGCATTGTCCTTGTTAACGTTGCATCCAGATACTGACTGACGACTGACTGCATTATACATCCTTAACGACCAACACCCATTCGAAGCGCATCTGAGTTGACTGACTGACGATCGAATCGAACAATCTTCCCACTAATGAAACCAACGACGTTTCGGTTCATTTGCTTTTCCATTGAGTAGATAGATAGCGGATGTCTTCTTGGAAATGATTACCGTTGAAAACTTTTTAAAGTTTACTTTGAAATCATCGAATCAATTTCAGTTTCAGTTTCATTTTTCGTAACTTTCTTACTCATCACAATTGTTTGTACAGGTATGCGCCGTTCCNCCACCACCACAAGTCTGACGATTTCAGCGGTGTTCTCGAAAAACAGCAACGAAAACAAATCGCGATTATTTCAGTGCATTTTCTTTTTCACCTACCGTTGAATGCCAATCAGTCAAACTAACTTCTGAGCGGACTTATCTTCTTACCATCTTTTCTACTTTAAACAATCATATTCGATGCACTTCACCCGAGAGCATTTTCGCCTAACCACGAATGATTTTAAATCTTCACGTTTCTATCGTCAATATGCAGTTCTGAAATTAGCATTCTCATGTGTTCCATCAACGTATCGTTGTGTTGCTTTTTCTGGAATTGATCAAATTCGAGTGTCTACGACTATAACACTAACAAGATTCGTTCGTTTTGCCTGACGATGCTTGTCCAAATTGAGCATCATCCTTTCAATTGATTCCAATCTCTTCGAAGCACATTTGAATCTTCTTTTTTTTCGTTTTGCAAAATCATCGTCTATGACTAAAAAGCACCATTCGTATGTGAAATGCATACGCATGCAATCGCACATGAAACGACCGATTACAAGTCATTCTTCTGCTACAATGATTGTGTGTTTCTGGTGGTATTCACATTCATTCTTCGTTTTCCGTTTCTGTTCTGCATCGTATTTCGGCAGACAGTATCGAATTTCCAGAAAAGCGATGAGCAATAGCAGCANCAGCAACAATAAGAATGATGAAAGTAACGAGCACGATAAAATCAACAAAACGATGTGTTGCATTCGTAAAAGCTTATATGCCAAAATGTATGTGTCTGGCAGCTGCTTGCATGCATCCGTTTTTGTAAATGGCACTTTTAAACGGCAATTTCTTTTGTCTAGCCAAGACGATGTTTTTCTGTAGATGAAAGGAATGTTTTTTTTTTTGAACTGTTTGGACGAATTTTTTCACTATAAAACCGATGAAATTTGAGCGAAACGTATGCAAGCGCATGATTCCGTGATCGATAAACTAATTTTGTCACACCTAATTTGCATCGAATTTTGTTTATAATGATTCTGCTGATTGTGAAGCTTTTTCTTGTCACAATGAGCATTCGAGATGTTCATTGAGTGCAGTGTTGAGTTTTGCAAATGATTCTGAGCAGAATTGGGAAGGTACAACAGTACTTTAATTGATATCGTACTGATTTGGTGGATTAAAATGATCCGCAAACATCATCAGACTTATTATTTACTGTTTGCGTTGCTTATGCAATGTATGGATAAGCCTCTACTCTGTGGTCGCCAAAAGCCAATCCAAACCCGTTTCCAACATCGTGGTCATTGTGCAAGCACAGACTGACTCTTCAAACGATCCGTTCTGAGTGACGACTGCACGATCAACTTTTGAAATGTCCGAACACAAGCAAAGCTTGCCCTGTCTATGGCTTGTTGTCAAAATGCTCAAGCATTAAGCAAAACGTTTTCATCGATCGCAGCAATGACAAACGTCATTTCGATCTTCAATTGAATCCGAAGTCAACGCCAATTTCGTCTCAATCCATGTAGAGTTCAATTTTGTTTCATTGTTGGCCAGCTTTTTGCGGTGCATTCATTTTTCGGATGTTTCGGGATGCGTCGGGGTTTTAAACGAGTGTCCGGCCAGTAGGCTAATCAGAGCACTATTCTCAATGCACAGACGATTTGAAATAGCGCATTGCAGATTGACGAGCCACCATAAGAAGTCGTTGCACTCCGTTGGGAGTGCAGAAGTGCCACGAACTTAAAATGTGATTACTTCTTATCAGCAATCACAAATCTCCAATGTTTTGCAATCACATCCTATTCTAACTTCTTCACTTCATCGATAATAGCCACCGCAACGCTCTGCTCAATCAACCGAACGAATCAACAATCTGATTGTTGTTGACGATTCTGAACTACTCCCGAAGCCCAGTCTGTCGTCTGTCCATCCGTCCATTCAAGACGAATTCTCCACTCTTCAACTAAATCCAAGGCCTTTCAAAGTTATCTAAGTCTCAGATCGGTTATGAATTGTCACGATTCTGCTTCCATTCGTTCCACTGGTTCATCGGTTGATAGCAGTAAACAAACGGAACGCCAACTGATGTTGTAAAAGTTGTTCGTTTTGGAGCATTCTCTGAAATTTGTCTCAGAATGAATCTCACATATTTACTTTGAGATTCTGAGGTTTTGTTTTTAAACAACTTGATCTTAAGCTAGTTTTTAGAGTTTTTACATATAAAGTCGTCAGCAATACATGGTATTATAACTCTACGTAGCAACTTGCGGTGAAGGTTCTCATCAAATACAATAATGCCGATAAAATAATAAGATACTCCACGAAAATTCTTATCAAATCCCCATTTTTCATAAATTCAGATTCCGCAATCACCCAATGTTTATGCAGCATTATCACCTAGTTTATCGGGTAATTGATGTCAACATGTATTGTATATTGCTAGTTAGGATCAGTATTCAAATTCTCGATTCGTAATAACTCGCCATACTTTTATGTCATCATCCGAGTTATCCGGTATTACTAACCAGCGAAATATCCACACAGATGATGGCATTTCGCTGGGATGCCGTCACTAATCTTCACTGGATTTGATTTGTATTTGTTAATGCCATTGTTACGAGTATTCATGTGCATATTTGTGTGTGTGTGCTGAATATTACCTACACGCAGGCACACTTATTTTGTCTTTCATCGAGAGTCGACATAATAAGAATGTTCATTCATTTGTTCATACTTAAATTCTACCCAAATGTCAGTTGCTCCTTCACATCGATGATTTTGTTGCTGAATCGACTCGCAAGTATCCGATAACAGCATTGTTTATACGTAATAAATGTGAACGTGAAAACCTCGATATATTTTGTAATTTATGAACGTTCCACAAACTTCTGAATATTAAGAAAAACCATATGAATATAAAAATTCGTTTGAGAAGACTTCATGTAAGAAATCTCCCTTCAAATTCCGAATTTTCGCAGTAACCACACGTGATGCAATCCTCGAATAGATTTTGCCACCAAGGATCACACAAATCTCAGTGAGTAAATAAATATTTTCAAAATGTCATTATCAAGATCTATGTCGTCATATCCATAATCTTTCATATTCATGCATGCGGTCTTCGACGGAGTAGTTTCTATTGAATCAATGGAGATGTCGTCATATGGGAACGCATGTATTATACGTGTTTGTTGTGTCAAGAAAATGCAAAGAAACTGTTGCCATAAGCGAACCAATTGTACATATATATATATTATCCTTGATCACATGCAGAAATGAATTTTTATTGGTGCAGATCAATGAAGACAAATATGGAAAAGGTCACTGGATGCTTTTTACGAAGCAATCGATTGTTTTCCAATGCAAATACCGCTGAGAGTTCGACAACTTCAAATGGAACGGAATGATATGTCAGCACGTGCTTTATTAATGGTTCTTAATAGCTGGAAAATTCATCAGACCCACGCAATTCTCACAAAACCATATGCGTTTGAAACTGAATGTAGGGATGAAAACAATTGGAAGGTTGAACTGAACTGAGAGGTGAGATGTGTTCGATGTTTGCTTTATAAGAAGTGAAATGAAGTGTGGCTGTATTTCGTATCGCTTCTGAATTGTTTCTCGCAATAGAATGTCGATGCACTGATTGTTCACGTTTATGAGCAGTTTGGTTGTTTCTAAATTGCAAAAGTTATATTCTTACATTGATTGGGTTTCCGCATTTGCTCGTAAGTGAGCAGTCGTCATTCAGCTGATCGAAGTTTCAGTTAGTTCATTTAGTTTGCGCTTTTTTTTTGACAAACAAACACAAAAGGAAGAGAATGCGGCGATATGTTTGTTTGTTCTTTTCTTGACAATTTCATTTCGATTGAATAATTGCACACAAACTTCCACAAAAAACTGAATCCTCTTGGGATTTTCATAGCCACTGAAATGATTTATGGTTCAGTTTTTCAGTTTGCCTTTTCTTGCTACTCGATTTGTGCGATCTTCTTGAATGAATGTCTTGT